CCCTTCCACCTCCTCCTCCTCCTCCCCTTCCACCTCCTCCTCCTCCCCTTCCACCTCCTCCTCCTCCTCCTGGCCACTATTTCCCTCCTCCTCCTCCTCCAGTCTCTTCACACCTCATTACAAGAGGCAGAAAAAAGAAAGGAACTAAAGACCAAACTCTCAATATGCCAGAAACTTGCTATTAATAAAAAAGTTCAATGTGCAGAACTGGTTGGAGACCAGGCGAGGGTTGGAACCAGAGCTCTGGGAGGGAAATGCGGACTTAACAAAACCCTCTTTTAATATCTTTAATATCTTTTAACCACATGTTATGAGCTGTTAACTCTTTGGGTGACATATTTTCCATCATCACCTGGCACCAGCAAGTCTTTTCTAGAAGATGCTGGCAGGCTGTGGAGAAGGGAGTCAGACAAGGGGCTTCTCCCAGCCGGTCCCTGTCTCCCTTCCAGGAACCCAAGCATCTCCCAGCACAAGCATCCCAGGGAGCTGCCGTGCGGGAGCGTGGGAAACGGCTCACTTTCTCAAGCCACCAGAAGTTGGCAGTGAACAGCTGCTGGTGGGAAGTGATCACACGGAGGCCACATACAGACAACTGAGTTTTAAAAAGCTGTTTTCCAGTGAAATTTAAATCAGTCCAATAATTCTGAAAACACTCTCAGTGTCTGTTATTATTTGGAGTCTAGGCACGGAAATGTTTCTATTTTCACAAGGAATGTTTTAAGAGTCAGATTTTTAGAACAAATATCATGAAGCACTGCAAAGATTTGGACAATGATCTAATTAACTTCTTTTTCTGGAGGTAACAATTAATAGCAAACTTGATGAACAACATTCCTGTCCACTTGGGTGCAAGCCTCATTCTGCAAAATCCCTCAAATGCGTGATGCTCCTGTTAGCCTTCTTCCTTTTCTCCATCGTTTGAAAGTGCCACTGGGCAATTCAACAGCAGAAGGCAGGGAGCAGAAGGGGAAAGTCCACAGGCTCTCAGGCGGGAAGAGGCACAGGCTCAGGCACAATCCCCAAGGGGACTGGGCTGGGGAGTCCTTGGGCCCATGCAGCTGCCTGACACCCAGGCCAGCGTCATCATCAACATTCGCTTAGTTGGTAAAGCCAGAAAACTTGGAAGTGGGTCCCGGTTCCTTCTCTTTCTTACCGATGTCCTACCTCCAACACACAGCAGGTCCTCAAATAACATCATTTCATTCAATGTTGTTTTGTTATAACATTGATGAGAAAAAAAAAAAAAAAACTATTTCCTGCTGGAGCCACTGTCTGTGTGGAGTGTGCGCGTTCTCCCCATGTCTGCATGGGTTTTCTCTGGGTGCTCTGGTTTCCTTCCACATCCCAAAGCTATGCTGACCTTGAATGAAGTGGTGCTAAACAGTCCGAATGAGTGTGGGTGTGCGGGAGACCCCTTGCAATGGACCGCATCCTGTCCAGGGTGGTTCCTGCATGGAACCCTGTGCTGCTGGGATGGGCTCTGGCCACCCTGCACTCTGAACTAGAATAAGCAGTTGGAAAATGAATGAATGAATGAATGAATAGAAATTATCACAGAATGAATATTCCTCAAGTACAGGTAATCACCCAAACGCACACCAATAAATGATGCTGTGCCAAAGCACTCAGCAAGCGGCCGGATTTGTGATTGTTTTTGAACTTCATGGTGGTCAGAAGCGCCGACAATGTTGCTTCGCAAGCATTTCTCCCTTGACTCCACTACCACCATAACCTCCATCATTCACTGATTCATCAAAAATTGGGCAGATAATATCTTAGTTGTTTTTATCCATCTTTCTGCAATGTATGTACAGCCACAATTACTTCAATGTTTAATACCAGAAATGTTTGGGGTTTCGTATAGAAGTTTGGTGATATCTTTGTGATCAGATACGAGCCATAGGACTATACATCTTGTTTCTGTCAATTAGCCTACAGTAAAATTGGTTTAGTTACGCGTTGGTTAGCTCAAAGTCACAGTATCCAAGAACCTATCCACAATGTTAAGTGAGAACTTACTGTATACAGCACTTTCTCCATCTCGGCTACCACCAGCATGCCCCCACCCAACCACACCTCCTTAGACACTTGGCTGGCCCTTCTCCTTCAGGCCTCAGCTGAAATAGTGCCTTCTCAGAGAGCTTCCTGGATCCCTCCAGTGTAAGATCCTTCCACTCACCCCTTTCTTTCTTCCTTTACACCCACAGCCCCTGATAGAGATCTCTGCTTCCTATTCGTAGGTTCTG